ATTGTTTAAAATTAAGTCATTTAGTGTTTATGTACAAATTACAGTTTTTTTGTCATCCAGCTAAATGATGAAAACTAAGAATATTATGATCTGCCTTCTCAGAGTGCAGTGCAATGGCATTGAAACAAGTCTGCAGAAATCAATAATAGGCCATACAAATCTACAGAGCATATTAATAGTGCAGATATCAGCTGTTTTGGCTTTGAGAAAGTATGGGTTCCCGTCAAATGCTGCACTGATGATAGCGAAAGTAAAATCAGCACAGCTTCTATCAACTATACCGTGCTGCTAGACTCGTGATTTGAGTTAACTCTGGGAAGTTAGCAGAGAGAAACTTGCAGAAGCAGGAATCGCGAAACAGACTTTCTGAAGAGTTAGCAGCTGAATTTCTGCTGCCCTGTTCTCTGGCTCCTGTGCTTGAGGAAGATGGAGACAGAAAGCGCCGCTTCTTACCCTCCGTTGAAGGCATAAGGAGAGAACTTGTGCTCCACTGGACCTGTGTAGTGATACTCCTTCATCTTTCCATTATCTCCATAAGCCCGAGCAGAAATCATCACGAGCTCCCTTCACCAAAACTCGCTGTATCACCGCAATATGGCCACCGGAAGTTGACAGGTTCTTTGTTTCCTGTGCGCTTACGTCACAACGTTCGCAGGCACATGGCAGCTCGTACCGCCGTCTGCTGGAAGCGTCGTTTATTCACAGGTGTGAATAAATATTCACATTTCGAGCACCTCCACAGAGGTTAATTTAGTCAATTGTAGGCCTGCATAGGCGAAACAAGCTCCCAGTGACTCGCATTGTGTGAGCAGGGTTAGCATTCATCTGAAGACTCTCTATGAAGTAACACAAGCCACTGCTATCAATGTTCATGCAGTAAAGCAACTAATATATCAGTATGTAGTCTATATAGAGAAATCCCAATGAAGCCCTAAATGGATAACCACTTACACAAAGTCTAGAAAAAAAAAATACATTGTGCATTTCTGTATGTTTTAATAAATAAATGTATCTGTAATTATTCATCTTTTGTGATTATTGTGTTCTTCCTGTATATTCCAACTATTTTCAAATGGATTCTTTATTTATATGATATAGAATGAATAGATCTCCATCTGTAACCTCTTCCACTTCCCCATCCCTATATTTATTACTAGTCTATCCATCTATTCGGGACAGTCACAGAGCAACGATTCGTCACAGACACTTACATTCAAAACTATTTCCAAAATCAATACAAGCAGAAGCAATTAGGTGAGAAAGTACTACCCCTAATTTTTTTTTTTTTGTAATACTATTTTTATTAAGTTTTCTTCAAACACTTACAAGACTGACACATGTACATACTGCGTCTGTAACAACACTTACAATGTACCAAAAAAAAACACACTAGGGGCTCATATAACATGAAAAGTGTGATAGCACAAAACAGCATTAGGTTAATACAGTACGTACTTTGGAAGCTAGGTTTAATAATCCATTGCAAACAATAACAACCACAGCTGTAAGGGGTTAATATAATGCACATTAACATATATTTGAATACTTGATCCTCCTCTATTATATTGTTAATATCCCTACATTCAATAAATAATAATAAAAACGACTCCAGATTTTCTTAAATTTAGCTTCTTTACCCTTTAGAATATAGGTTATCTTTTCCATTGCAATGCATGAAGATATTTCTCTTAAAACCAACAAGTGGGCCATTCTGTCTTTTTACAATAAATGGCAATGAGCTTTTTGGCATGTAAAATGCACATGTATCAATACTTGATTATCCTTTTTAATATTCCGGTTCTCTGGATAAATGCCAAGAATGAAAAACCCTGGATCTAATGGTAACCTCATTGAAACCACATGCCCTGTCATATTACTACCACCCCTAGTTTAACTGCAAAGACAAATGCACAGAACACTGAAGTGCTCTGACTATAGTCAACACTTCCTACGCAACCTACAGCTTGTATTAAATGCTGAAACATGCATTTTTAGCTACTGATGAATATAACCATATTTTGGTAAATGAACACTATGAACATGCAGTGAGGTTCAGCTTTGGGTGTGACAGACGCCTGCAGGCACCTGTGGTTTCAGAACCTGTTCATCCAAGGCGGATGAACGCTTTCTCCACCCTCTTTGCTGAAATGGTAATGTTTCCTGAGTCATGGGAACATTCAGTCTGTAAACTAATTGATGTCTCTAGAGCTGTGTCTCATCTGCTGCCACTATATGCCTCTTGAATGGTTGACAGAAAAGCCACACCCACCAATGCAGCCCATAAACTGGTCAGCTCTGATTCACGGGAAATCGTGAGCACAGGAATCAGACAGCACTATAGTTTCTTCATGGGCGTATTAAAAGGGTGGACGTATGATTTCCCTTGAATTATTCTGATTAGGCCGTTTCAGGGCTTGAAAATGAATACGCCCTTTGATTCATGCAAATTCAGCAAAAATGACCAGATTATTAGTCAATATAGTAGATGTGTCAGAAAAGAAAACATGCACACGATTTTATTAACTAAGTTAGGATTTGCAAGACCACAGTCCCATTTGTATGTTTGTTCATTCTGTACATTTGTTTTTACACATGCTATATATCTTTTAGAATGTAGCGCTTGTAGTATTGCAATCAACACCAGGTTTCAAACTTACAGTCTGTACATAACATGACAGTTTGTAATATAGAGGTTTACTGAATATTGATGATAGAGTAATTGCAGAAACGGACACTTCCATGACAGGGTTTGCTTAAATTAACTTTCCTCATAATTCATAAAATTTCATAATTTTCTTTAGTGTTCTGTGTTTATGTATTGTATGCAGTAAATATAATCTAAAGTATTAAAGTGTTGAAAACTGTATTTAAAAAAAAAATTGCATTTGTTTCAAATGAATAAAATACTCTTAATCTCAAAGTCCACAAGTTTTAGGCCTATGTTAAATTCACATTTTAAAAACAAAATTGTTTCGAAGGACACTACAAACTCACTTTCTGTGTCTCACACAAACATGCATACACTTGTTGACTAATTTATCGACACAACATCCATGTACACAATGTGCATGTACATATGGCTTGCTATCAAGACCTCCGACTCCATCATGAAACGCCTGGGGCTGATAACATCATGAAATTATTTCCAGCACATGGGCTTCTCACTGCCATCAAAATCAGCCACACAGTTTACATAAACAAACATATCGACGATATAGTCAGAGAAATCACCTTGCCTTGCTATTGCTTTTGACATTATTATTATGATTATTATAATCATTATTATCAGGCTAGTACTAATATCTAATTAATATTAGGCTTATTTGCTGCATCATATTTCTTTTTCCGCATTTTACAGTGTTGCGTGTTTTAACCAATCACACACGATTCCGTTGAGTTTATGAATGCAGCGGCCAATCAGAAGCGTTCAGATGAGTCATCGCTGAAATACCGGAGTTTTGTTGTTCAGTGCGCGCGCTCGCTGAATGATTTCTGCTCTCTCGCGAATTCTCTCATCATAAACAACAAAGTGCAGATGTATGTGCATTGTAAGTATAAGAGATGTATTCATCATACAGTGTAGACAGCTTCACTGATTATAACGGGAGTGTTTTTTAAAGTGCATAAACTCATGCTAGACAGAAGTCAATGATGATGTTCTTTGATCATTTAAATGCTCATTTTCCGTAGCCGCTGTTTGAATAACTGAGGAAATTAAAGCATTATAATTAGTAAATGTTTCTATAAAATTGTTATCAGGTTAAATCTTATAAATATAAATATTAAAAATATTTTATGATAAGACATCCATATGCTACTTACTTGACTAAAAAAAGATATAATGTGTCGTTTATACATTTATATATTACATTAGGCTGCTTTTAGCCTTACTCTGGAGTTGGTTCAATCTCCGGCTATGATTATAAGTAAATAATTCAATAAATGAGCATGCTAATATCGTGTATTGGCGATAGGATAGCACGATTCTTTTCCTCAGTGAAGCTTATATAATTGTTATTAATAATTGATTGTTAAGCGCAGAGAAGCACAGGAGGAACGAGTGAAGGAGACGCGCTGAATGAAAGCGCACATTCACTCTCTGACAGCAGGTGGCGCTGATGGAGCAGCAGAAATGCAGTCGTAGCTGCGCTACTTTCTGAAACCTATCTAAATCATTTAAACAGCCATTCAGATTTTTGTATTCGCTATGGTGTTCATAGCAGCACTGAATACTTAAATACTTACATTTAATTTCATTTTAATCTGGACTACAACATGCCCTAGATATTGTTTGAAAGTGTTTTGATTCTTTATTGTCCGGTCACACTTTACATTAAGGCTCCATTAGTTAACATTAGTTAATCCATTAGTTAACATAAACTGCCAATGAAAAATTATTCTAAAGCATTTATTAATCTTAGTTGATTGCAACATTTAATAACAAGTTCTATTTTTTTAACAAAGAACATCTGTTACAGATGTTGCTCATTGTTAATGCATTAACTAAGGTCTTACTGTAAAGTGTTACCTAATAATTCTTCTGAACTTTAATCCATTTGAAACAAGTTTACTTTGTAAATTTGTTGTCCAATGGTTTATTGTATTTAAATGTTCAGTTTTTTATTATAAAAAGTTATTAACCCTGTTTTACTGAATTATGACAAAATTTTTGCAATTTATTTAAAAACCGTGATAATACCGTATAAAGGGGCAATTATCGCAACATGGAAACCTGATACCGTCACATGCCTATGCCCTTCTACAGCTCATTCACAGAAACTTCCCAGTAGGCAGATGTCATTTAACAATAGCTGTGTAACTTTTAAGGTACTGTAAAAGTGTATTGTCAATTCAAATGAAATTCTGCAAGTGTAAAATGATTAAGTACTGCGTGTGTCATTGTAGTTGCCCAGCCCTGAAGCGCTCCATTCAAACAGGTCGAGCCTCTGCAGATCGGGTTTCACTGCGGGGTGGAGCTCAGGGAAAGTTTCAGATAAAGAGTGGCCTGAAAACATTCCGAGAGCTTCTTCACACTCGCCCAGGAGACACCGAACAGCGTTATTATCCAACATGTTTCGTTGTGGGATCGAGTATCCGAGGTGCAGGTGGATCCTGCCTCTGCTTCTGCTGTTTGCGATTATTTTCGATATTATCGCCATCGCAGCGCAGTCTGGATGGGTGGAGGACGAGGGCGCAAAGACGCACTACGCCAGCATGTGGACACAGTGCCGAGGCCGCAACGATCAGTGGGACTATAAATCTCTCATGGAGCATCGTAAGTATTCACTTCAAGTCCTGAGAACGCCTTCAATCCAGTATTTCAGACATTAAAATACAGCTCAGGTGAAAGCGGTCACCAGAAACCAAACGAAACAGATGGAAAAGTGTCACTTTATTTAGCCTTTTCTGTATTCATTTTGGATTTTTAAAAATGATTATTCTATTTAAAATAATACATAATAATAGGAAAAAAATGTCTGTGTTAGTCAGGTTTATAAACTTCTTTTGTGTCAAGTGTTTTTCATTCTGAAAGTTTATGAATTCTTAATAAAGCCGAGCTTTGTTAGTTTATTTATTTTTTTGTTACGCTCATTCAATTTTATTGAAATAGATAGAGATCAGCTAAATTATGATAAACAGACTGGCACGTACATTAAATACCACTCTAACAAAATTGCCACATTCTAATTTACTAATTCAGTTTATCTAAAAAAAATAATGCTGTGGCATCAGACCATAAAATATGTTTTAATGTCGTTTTTATTTTCTATAACATTTATATATTTTATTTTCTATATCTATACTCTGGGCGAAATGGAAATAATTGATGTCACTTTCACAGTTTTCAAAGTCTGCATCGCATTTAACCAGTTGAACAAGTTATAACCTGCAGTCTTCCCCTTTTCTCAGCTGTTATTTTCATTAGTTTGCCAGTTGAACATTTTTAAACTGAGGCCTATAAGTAGAGATCTCTCCATTACTGGAAAAATGTTACTTTTTGTAGAAATAACATGCTGTAACATGCTCTTTATGAACAGTAGTGCTTCTAAATTATTCATAGATGGATAATATTCTACAGTATAAATGGTGATGCACTATTCCACTGCTTAGGATTATTTGGTTAGCATTTAATCCTTCTTTAATTCTCTTGTGCTATACGTTAAGTAACTGGCATGGAAAATATAGTTATGTATAGCCTATCTGAGGACTGTGGCCACAGTGTCGATCAAGCAGTATTTTTATAGCAATTTCTAAACACCAAAGATCATTCATGTCTGAGTGATAAAATGACTTGAAATAGAGTTAGACCAAATAATACTAGTTGCATAAATCATATCCCCCTCAAACTCAAGCACACCCTCCTCCCCCCAGCGCTCTCTGGGTGTGACTGTATTCACAGACTTGGAGCAAAAACACATTCCTCTATCAAGTGTTAGGAAGCCAAGCATTGTCTCTACAAGTCCTCACAGCCGCACTGAGTCATGACTGATACTAGTGAAACATTGCTGTTAATGTGTAACCATGCACGTTAGAACTTCTCATGGAAACTCACCTGTTGTATGTGTTCCGCATGCTCACGTTGATTAATAAAGAGAAAGTGAAGAGATACACAACCATTGCATTAACTGTACCTTGTTTACACTTACACGGTGTCTTTGTATCCCTACACTGTAAAAAAAATTCCAGCTGTGGTTACCGGAATTTTACCGTAAAAAATACAGTAGCAACGTTTTAGGTTTTACGGTTTTAACTTAAATTTACAGTTAAATACCGTAATTTCATTAACTGATAAAATTGCAATATAACTATTGAAGTACTGAAATCTGTTTTGTACCTTTGTAATACACTGATAACCACCAAATGCAGGTGGTGATGAGAAAGTCACACGATGAACCAAAGCCCATCACAAGCAGCTTTTAAATAATAACATATATAGAAGGTGCACAGTGTCATTCACACAAACACTAAACACCATCATGGTAACACACATGAAACTGAAATAATGCAATAAACATTCATTTAACAACATTAGGTGTAACACACAACCCTAATATGCAAAACTGATAAGAAAAAACTAAGAAGAAACAGTTATTTCAACAAAAAAACATCAAATTTGAAATGTAACGCAGGGAATTCGGGGAATGTCAATTTACGGTTATTCACTGTAAATTATACGGTATTTTTCACGTTCAAAAACGGTATATTACCGTAAAATGTATGTCCAATACATGTAATGTCCAATACAGTTTTTCACCGTATATAGTAGGGGAATTTACCGTTAACCATTTAACAGGTTTTTACTGTAGCATTTTTACTGTAGTGTCTTTTACCTTTAAATTCACGGTCATTTTTTACAGTGTACCAATGTTAAAACTAATTTATGGCTTTGATTTTAGCTGCTGACCCACAAAGGGTCAATTTTTTATTTTTTTTGAATATGTTAGTGTGACCGTGATGAAACAAATAAGCAGCATGTGACTGAAAGTCCTCTCGGTGCTTCCTCCAGCATGGGCCCAGGCAGTCGCCGCTCTGATGATCATAGGCCTCATCATCCTCATCATCGCCTTCATCGCCTCATTTGTGGCTCTCTGCTGTAGCCTCAACATCACTCTGCTGCCTTTAATCGGAGGCCTCCTTATTTTGGCTGGTAAGACACTTTCTTACCGTATTAATCTGTTGGATATCAACGACACCCCTTCAGAGGAAGTTCCACAGCGAGAGCGTTTCCTTTGAATTGAATAGTTTCTAAATAATACATGGATGTTGGGCTGGGCTGTGTGACGGTATAAAGCTGTAGGAAACCTGTAGGGATTTGGCTGGACTGTGGTTGATGGATCTGCACACAGCTATCTATCAGTGAGCAGGACAGCTTTAGGTGATTTCGGTCTTTCCGCCCTCATGTATGTGAGTTTTGTTTTGCTGTCGCTATGGGATTGAGTGTCGCTCTCACCCCTCCCCCGTCCTCTTCACTTGTATTCAGGTGAAAGTTAAGAACGGCTGTCGGGACGGGAGACTTTTGTTATTCACTTATTCATCGCCAGACTGAATCATAACCTCTTCTTTCTAATTTGATATCATCATAAATGTTTCAAATGTTCCTTAAATCCTCCCTCTTTGATTTGAGTTTCGTTATGAAATGTAAGCTAGCCTGATCTGATCTGAAAACTCTGCCTCTGTGAACTATGCCTGTTTCCGCAATAGCTCATTCTGTTTGAGATTGACAGCCTTGTTGCTGGAAGCGACATACACAGACATACACAGTGTGAAAGTTCCCTACACGCCCAAACAGGGCTTGGCCTTCACTCACATGTCTCTGCAACACTCGCAGATACGCCCTGCTCTCCCACAGAGTGTGATGGCTTTATTGAGCTGAGCTTTAAGCTGCTGATTACACATTGTTATGGACTAAAACAAACTGGTGCCAAGTTTGTATAAGGTGCTATTTCTAAAGAACTTGTTGGACACCCAGGAATACATAGCCATTTTTTTTCGTGTGTGATTAAAAACTGAATAATTGGGACACTAACCCCCGGTTTCACAGACAAGGCTTAAACTTAGTCCCAGACTAAAATGTAAGTCTGAGCTGTTTCAACTGAAAGAAACTTGCACCGACTGACCTTAAAATACAGTATATCAGTGCCTCTGTTTTGTCTCAAGATGCACACCAGTAATGTTTTTTCTAAAGCACGTTTATAAAAATGACTTAAATGTCCTAATTGAACTATGGCCTAATCCTGGCTTAGTCTAAGCCCTGTCTGTGAAACCAGGCCTACAGCTCTTAAGCACTGCAGGAGATATAAGTCATTAAACCATTTCCTCAGAACTAACTTGACAAGCTGTAGACATTTGAATTCTGTTGCTTCAGAGATGTTGGCATTAATGAGTTTGATTCCTCAGATAGTTTGGATTAAAGCATCTGCCAAATGTAAATTAGTTCAGGTTCACACAGGAGGAAACACAGATGTAGCTCATCACATTAACTTTGGCTATGTTCCTCTAGTGTTTTGTGCTCATTCTGAACAGGGAGTCTGTTGTTTTATCAACTGAAACCTAAAAGCGTGCTTGCACTGTCTGTCTTTTAAATAAATGCTACCTGGTTTAGTATTTTGCAAAATGATGACTTGTAAACAGTGTAACTTAAGTAGGGTCCCTGCAACTGAACTTTTCTTTGAACAAAATTTGTTGCAAAATCTGTTGCGCTGTAAAGTGACTCAGCATTCTCTGGTTCCAGTAATCGTCCAGATAATCGCTCTGATCATCTACCCTGTCAAGTTCAACGAGCTGATCTATGAAGGTTATTACGACTACACCTGGGCATACGGCTTCGGCTGGGGGGCCACCATCCTGATGCTGGGCTGCGGGATCCTCTTCTGCTGTCTTCCTCGCTACGAATATGAGCTTTCTGGCATGGCCAAGCCCAAATACATCTACACCTCTGCCTGAAACCCCCAAAAACTCCACCTCTCATAAAGGACAATGTTTAGCCACCCAAGCCTAAATGTCAATGCTCACCGATCTCCAAAAGCATCGTCATCTTCCTAAATGAAACATAGGACCATACTGACTTTGATGAGGGCTGTCAGTGCAGCCAAACTGGGCGATGCCCTTTTGGGGCTAATGCTATTAACGTTCATTTTAATTCATTTTAAAATTTTTATTAATCATTCACAAACTGGCTGGCTTTGATGTGTGTGTGTGTGTGTGTGTGTGTGTGTGTTTATGTCACTCAGCACAGATTGAACTCCACAAAGCATTATTCAAAATCTCTATATCAGGCAGTTTACATTATAGTGTCCATCGCATACTACATGTAAAAATAATTAATTTTAGTAAGTAAAAATTAAAAGTTATAAATTATTATAAATTAAAAGTATAATTAAAATAATTAAAATACAATTTTAATTATATAAAAGAAAATAATTAAAAATACAGGTAGTTTGCTTTGAATTCACACTGTAGCGTGAACACTGCGATGTAAAGTCTGACTGAGTTTTGTTATTTGGATGTTTCTTGAACATCTCTACATATCAACATTAAGAAAATATTTTTATGATGTAGCTGTATTTTTAGATGAATGTCATTCCATGTCAGTCTGTTCTTGTTTTTCACAATAGCGGCTGTGCATACTTGATTGCACACTTCACTAAAGGGCTCTTACTGTCAGCGAAGAGTGTGTGTTTTGTGTTTGGCTGCATGGCCAAAGTGAAGTGAACGAAGAGGGTTTTTGTGCACTAATCCTGAGCTTGCTTTTACAGTTAAATTGGTGAACAAGTGGGAAAAAATACAAAACACAACAACCTGATGTTTTTCTTGAAAGCTTCGAAAATCTTGATGCATTCATGCCGTAAGCAATTATTTTCAATAAGTCAGTTTGATGTGGAAGAAATGTATAAAAAGTACTTTGCTTGTAATCTTTGCAAACTTGTAGGTTTTTTGGAGCATTTTACTAGATTCTAATTAATTCACTTTGTCATTTGCAGTGATATGAATTGTAAATCAATCTTCAATAAAGGGGAGACTTTCTGTTAAGATGCCAATCACAGCTAGTTTTGTGTGTGTGTCTGTGTGTGTGTGCGTGTATCTCTGTGTGTGTGTGTGTGCGTGTGTGTGTGTGCATGTATCTCTCTGTGTTACAAGGAGAAGGTGACTTTTCAGGACATTACCCCATGTCTCCACTTTTCAAAACGCATATAAATCACACAGAATGGAGTATACTGAAAATCTGAAATAGCACAAAGTTTCCTGTGAGGGGGAGGTTTAGGGGTAGGGTTGCTGTAGGGCAATAGCACATACAGTCTGTACAGTATAAAAACCATTACGCCTATGGGATGTCCCCACTTTTCACAAAAACAAACCTGTGTGTGTGTGTGTATCTCTGTGTGTGTGTCTGTGTTTGCGTGTATCTCTCTGTGTGTGTGTCTGTGTTTGCGTGTATCTCTCTGTGTGTGTGTCTGTGTTTGCGTGTATCTCTCTGTGTGTGTGTCTGTGTTTGCGTGTATCTCTCTGTGTGTGTGTCTGTGTTTGCGTGTATCTCTCTGTGTGTGTGTCTGTGTTTGCGTGTATCTCTCTGTGTGTGTGTCTGTGTTTGCGTGTATCTCTCTGTGTGTGTGTCTGTGTTTGCGTGTATCTCTCTGTGTGTGTGTCTGTGTTTGCGTGTATCTCTCTGTGTGTGTGTCTGTGTTTGCGTGTATCTCTCTGTGTGTGTGTCTGTGTTTGCGTGTATCTCTCTGTGTGTGTGTGTGTGCGTGTGCGTGCATGATCTTGCTGCTCTATGAAGAAATCAAAGGTAGTTCTGCCTACTAAGGGGCTCAAGCACAGAAAGTGTTTAAGCATGTGATTTGTATCAAAATTTGGCCTAGAAACTTGGTTATTTTAATGAAGAAGGTCTAGAAAGCGCTGTGTGAGTGACCATGAGCAAAGATGGCAGATTTCAAACTCAAATGTCCAGGTGGTTGTGCGCCAGCCAAGCATCTGCTATTGAGATGAATGCTAACAGTCCTGTCTAGACCTTCTTAATTGCAATAAATCAAATCAGATCTGCTGCCAAGTAGTTTTGAGCCAGTCACCTGAAACTAAATGCTAAGTGATAAATCACTTTTGTCCAGACGGAAATGACATCATGAGAAAGCTGATTGATGATGCCACTGAAGTCCTAAAAACAGGGCAGTGATGAAACGTAGTAAGGTTTCACAAAATAAAACAGAGCAAATAAAGTGTAATGATATTAATAAAAACAGTATTCTTCCACCAAACAATGTAGCTCCTCAAAAACAGTTGTGGTTCCAACAAAGTTGTTGCCGAGCAACACACAGAAGTAAACAAAGGTGTATGTTTGTAGAGTAATTTACAACAGCTTCGAACGCGGCTCAACCAATCAGAATCAAGGACCGGAACTATCCGTTTCATAATCCCATGTTTCTTGCAATAAATAAATAAATAACTTGCTCCGTTTAATTAGAGGAAGACATTTTTCGCAGAGTGTGTACGACATCAGCAGGA